TCCTGACGTGCATGTGCCAATTCACAACAGGGTTTGCCCTTTTGGTGAGTTAATGCTGCTGCTGATCTGGACCAGGAGTGGACCTCAGGTAGTAATTACGTCACATTGCACCCACTAGTCTCTCACCTCCAGTGTGGCCCGGTTCCTAGTCAGGGCCATGGACTGATCTGTACTGGTCCCAGGGGTCTGGAGGGCTGGGAAACACCTGCCCACTGGACACTTCATGGCAGACTGTCAAAAAGACTGGTTTTGTGGGAGGAAAACAACGTGCAAACAAAATAATATGTGGCCCATCAAAGAGAGGACGCTTTATTTGGCTTTCGTTTCTCTTCCCTACTCTAAAATATCAAATCTACTCAAGATTCAAAAGAGCCCCTTACAACTTCTGCTTGGTGTTTTCGAAAAACGCGTGCAAACTCCTGCTTGTTAGAAAATGCATCTGGATGGGGCGTGTGGCTCACAGCTGTGAATCCCAGCACTTTGGCATGCGCAGAGCCGGTGGGATCACCCAAGGTAAGGAGCTCTGAGACCTGTCTGGGACCAATGTGGCGAAAATTCGGTCTCTACTAAAAATACAAAAAATGAGCCAGGGTGTGGTGGTGGGGCGCCTGTAACACCCAGTACTAGGAGGCTACGGCAGGGAATCGCTTGAACCCGGGAGGCAGAAGTTGCAGTGAGCCGGAGATCGCGCCATTGCGTTCTAGCCTGGGCAACAGAGCAACTTCTGTATCAAAAAAAAAAAAAAAAAAAGAAAGAAAAAAGAAGTGCATTTGGAACTACAAGTTTAAACCTGCTTAAGCGAATCACAACTTAAAAATACTCTTAATTTAGTTTGTTTTGTAACTAGAGGAATATATATATATAAAATAAAAATTACAATATAAAATATATATACTTAACACTATACAAAATACAAACACCTACAAATGGACAAGCAGTAAATACATCAAATCATAAACAATAGTTGTGTTAAGAAAGCTCCAGGGGTTATCATTCTTATAGTCGACACACTTTAATATTGAAAAAATACATTTTTTAAGGCCAAGAGTTTTCATTTTACATCTGCTTAAATTTCCACAGGAATTAGATATTTGCTTTATTTCTCTTCCTTTCTCCAAATTCATCCCAACTTCTGAAGAGCTGCAAATCATTATGTATTTCTCTTGTTAAGCACATATCAAGAAGTAGGTAATATAGTTAATAACTGCACTCTCATTAAAGTTCAGGAGAGAAAGTTTACAAACCTAGTCTTCAGTAGCACAAGTAGGTAAGCAATAGTTTTTTTGTTTGCGTGTTTGTTTTGAGACAGAGTCTCGTTCTTGTCGCACAGGCTGGAATACTATGGCACGATCTGAGCTCACTGCAAGCTCCACCTCCCAGGGTCAAGCAATTCTCCTGCCTCAGCCTCCCAAGTAGCTGGGATTACAAGTACCCACCACCCAGCTAATTTTTGTGTTTTCAGTAGAGATCAGGTTTCATCATGTTGACCAGGCTGGTCTTGGACTCCTGAACTCTGGTGATCCACCCGCCTTGGCCTCCCAAAGTGCTGGGATTACAGGCATGAGCCACCACGACCAGCCGGTAAGCAATAGTTTTGTCATATTATCTGGATTTGTGAAGGCAGCGTTTACCAAGAGTCAATTTTCCTCACCCAGGGACTCTGCGTTTTACAATCAAACAGCAGGGGTTTTATGTTTTGTTTATTCTCAAATAGCAGTATAGCTCCAAATAGTCATATATCTATTAGGTACTTAATGTTCTTACTATTTGGTGTTTATAAAGACGATAGTTTAAAATACTTAAATGGTCTTGGAAAAATCTAACTAACCAAAACAGTCTAATGTATTATTTACTTTCCATTAAGCTTCACCTATTATATACACTTCTATATATTGTGTACACTTGCATCACATAAAAGGAAAATACATTTGTATTTGTTAGCAATTTTATCTTCACTTTCACTTCTAAGTCTTCTCCTTACCAGTTCCCACATCAACTTGTTTCTTTGCCAGATAATGTACTATTGTTTCTATCATTCCTAAAGCTGTAAAAATAATTTGAACTGGCCAGGCATGGTGGCTCACACCTGTAATCCCACCACTTTAGGAGGCTGGGGCGGGTAGATCACCGAGGTCAGGAGTTCAAGACCAGCCTGACAAACATGGTGAAACCCCGTCTCTACTGAAAATGCAAAAATTAGCCAGGTGTAGTGGCGCTCGCCTGTAATCCCAGCTACTCGAGAGGCTGAGGCAGGAGAATCGCCTGAACCCAGGAGGCGGAGGTCGCAGTGAGCTGAGATCACACCATTGTACTTCAGCCTGGGTAACAACAGTGAAACTCCATATCGAAAAAATAAAATAAAATGAAATAAATTGAATAGCGTGCAGTGCCTGCCACCTGATGGTAAGAAGTACCACATTCCAAAGAGTATGTTCCTTTTCCCTCAAGGAGGGTTGGGGGAAGTGAGGAACTTTAGAATTCTCAATGACCATTTGAGCAAGACAACCATCTGGAAATGTAACAGGGATTACAGGGTTCAGGAGGACAGGGCAAAGAATGCTGAGCTCCTGAGGGAAAGAAATGAATAGGAGCCCAGAGAGTAATGCAATACAACGAAGATGAGATTCAAAACATAAAAATGAAAACCTCACCTTGAGGCAAAATATGACACCTAAGAACTTCCTTACAGCACTGCTTATACTTCTATAAATATTGCACCACTCTACCAAAAGAAAATTTGAGGTAAAGACATGAATTTGTTTTTGAGTTCTAGTCAAGGTAAATATGAAGCAATTTTTTAAAATATAATAATAAAGCCAATGTCTAGTATAAAGGAGACTGAGAAACCATAGAGCAAGAACAGACAAGAGTGACAGGAAGAGAGGAATAAAATCACCTACTGATTCACTGCATAATTCCACATTTCAGGTAAGAACAAATACTCAGATTGGGTGTAGTGGCTCACGTCTGTAATCCCACCACTTTGGGAGGCAGAGGCAGGAGAATTACTTGAGCCTAGGAGTTCAAGACCAGCCTGGCAGTCTGGGCAACATGGCAAGACCCCATCTCTACAAAAAAATAAATAAATAAATAAAAATAAATACCTTAGTCAGGTGTGGTGGCATGCGCCTATGGTCCCAGCTACTCAAGAAGCTGAGGTGGCAGGAGGCAGAGGTTGCAGTGAGCCAAGATCATGCCATTGCACTCCAGCCTGGGAAACAGAGCGAGACTTCTCAAAAAGAAGCTGAGGTAGGAGGATGACTTGAGCCCAGGAGGTTGAGGCTGCAATGAGCCATGTTCACACCACTGCACACCAGTCTGGGCAAACAGAGTGAGACCATGTCTCAAAAAAAGAATCATGATCTATACAGCCCAAGTCTACAAAGAGAAGAATAAGAGGCAGAAAATATATCACTGGGGAATCATGGATAGGAAATACAAGCAAATAACTGCCCAGAGTCAAAAGCAAACTAGAGAAAGACAATATGCCAAAGACAAGAAAAAAATTAATTTCTGTGAAGACCAGGGAAGAGTTCTACGATAATCAAAATAGGAAACTGAGCATATTAGAAAACTTAAAGAAATGAACAGTTTATTATTTTGAGAAACCAAAATCTTAAAAGAAAGGCTGCTTGCCAAAAAAAAAAAAAAAAAAAATCTGTATCTGACCAAGCTTCTAGATCTTCTATCAATGTAACTAGAGAAGTATGTGGGAGGTAAGATGAAATGAAATTGATCATTGTTAAAGCTGGATGATGGCTAGATGGGGGTTCATCATACAATTCTGTCTACTTTTATGTATGCTTTATAAAATGGCCGCGAATGGGAACATATCACTAAAGTTGCTGTTCATGGTAGACATCAGCTCCTCTGGAAATCTTTAACTGCTGTAGACAGGAAAGCGCTCCTTCCTCCATGCTACTGTTCTGAATAGTACACACTCCTATTACTGTACTTACTTGCTTGTTTACTTCTGTCTCATCTCCAAATCATGAACTGTTTAAAGGAAAGAATGATGTCTTACTCATCTATAAATGCCATTACCTAGCACAGTGTGAAGGATGTTCAGTAAATGGATGATCAACTAAACAAAGCAGTAACAGAAATTATGATTTCTCAGAAGAAGACAGAAAAGGTGAGAGAAAGAGGTCCAAGAACAACAATATGAAATACAAATTTTATCAGAGTAAAGACAGAAATATCTACAAAAAACACTGCTAGAGTAAATAGTGTGCTGAATGGCTGAAAAAAAAGAATGAATGAATGTATGAACAGTCTATTCAGTATATTCCTATACTGAAATGGAGCATATCAAGCCAACAAAATTTAATAATACTTTTCACTGGGAATATCTAATACCCTTTTTTCTAATCCTGTGCTCTCTAATCCCCTTTCTGATATTTACTTGATTTATCATTAGGCTTTTCTATATTTATTCATTCAATAAATACATACTGAACACCTACAAATGCCAGATACTATTCTAGGCACTTGAGATACATCGATTAACCAAAAAGACAAAAAAAACCCAAGCCTTGTGAAGCATATCTTATAGTGGGGAGAGAAATAAATGGGAAACAAATAATAAATGGGTGAAGTACAAAGTATGTAACAAGACAATACACAGGGGAGGCAGACCTGTGAGAGGAAGACCAGTCTAAAAAACTTGAGTATTTTTGTCTTACTGGGAGTTTTTAGTAAAATGGCACTGATAAACTGCAGTAAGTCTCTTGCCTGTTTGGTATATACAAGAGTCCCCCATGACTAATCTCCTACTGATAGGAAAAGTTATACATTATCCTAAACAATATTGACAACCCCTACCTGATCAGTGCCCAGCTGTGAGGTACCAACTACTGCCACCATCACCCTCTGACGTCTCCTTAGCTGAAAAACAAAAATACATGTCTGTACAAAACCCACTAAGGAACAGCATAAATTACGCTTATTGCTTTTAAAGGTCCTTCTCTGGCTGGGCGGTGGCTCACACCTGTAATCCCAGCACTTATGGAGGCCGAGGCAGGCGGATCACCTGAGGTCAGGAGTTTGAGACCAGTCTGGCCAACATGGTGAAACCCCATTTCTACTAAAAACACAAAAATTAGCTGGGCTTGGTGGCGGGCACCTGTAATCCCAGCTACTAGGGAGGCTGAGGCAGGAGAATTGCTTGAACCCAGGAGGTGGAGGTTGCAATGAGCCAAGATGGTGTCACCGCACTCCAGACTGGGTGACACAGCAAGATTCCATCTCAAAAACAAACAAATAAATAAAGTTCCTTCTTTGATACAAAAAGAAAAAACAGGAAGGAAAAGCTATCAAACTGATTTTGAGCAAGGCACTGAAGTGAGATAACACAGCTTAGATTAAATTTAACAGACTATAATTTATAACGAGCGGTTAGGCAAACTTTTTGCTGAGTTAAGAGATCATCAGTCCTCTCTCCAAATATAGACATCTTTGATTGGTAGTTTCCATCTACTGGTTGAGGACATCATTGTCTATAAAGCTATATCTTAAAACAATCTCATTCTTGCCATAAAGAGCTCAGCGCGTCATTGTATTTATAAAAATCCGTTTGTTCAAATATGCATGTGCTGTATGCCAAGTAATGCTCCCACAGTTAATCACTATTCTACATTTTATCATTAAAATAAGTTTTCTCTCAGTTGTGAGTCCATATAAGTTAACAATAAACATAATTTTCCTATCACCTTGGAGACACTCATATCAATTCTCTATAGTTTAAGTATTTTGTTTTATTGATCAAGACACTGTGGCCAAAAGATGTTAAGGAGATAAACTGACTTCTCTAAGGTCACAGGCTCATTAGTGACATTTCTAGAACTTTAAATGCAAGTTTCCTGTCTCCACCCAGTACTCCCTAAAGATTATACACTTTTACTTCTGTTCAGTGCTGTCCATTGATATCTCAACTTAAATTAACTGGGAATTTTTAGCTTTAGACTTGAGAAAGAACAAAAATACATCAAGTTCATAACCTATCTACCTAATAAATTATACATCAGAACTGAAGACTGAAATTGATGGAGTCATTGAAGATACTCTACACAAGGTTAACAAGGTGAAGATTAAGAGAAGAATTTTATTAATACATAACTCAAACAAAGGTTTATTATACAGAATATACTAGGAACCCTTATGAATCAACAAGACAAATATACAAGAAAAGTGAACAAAGGGTGTAAGCAGAAAATACATAGAAAGGAAGAGCTAAATGTTTAATTAATATCAGAAGAGATGCTATCTCACTGGTTATCAGGGATTTAAAATCCAAACAGTGAAAAACTACTTTATGATCATCAGACTAGCAAAAATTACAAAGTCCAAAAATATTCAACGCTGGCAAGAATGCATGGAAACAGAAACTCTTACACATTGCTACTGGGAATATCCATTAATACAACTTTGGAGAGCTATCTAGCAGTCTCTAAAAGAAATTAAGTGTGAGTATATATTTTGTGTATTCTATGACCAGGACACACAGAGGATAACACACCACATAAAAAAGGTGGCTCATGCCTGTAATCCAACATTTTGGAAGGCCGAGGCAGGCGGATCACTTAGAGTGCAGGAGTTCGAGACCAGCCTGGGCAACATGGAGAAACCCCATCACTACTAAAAAAACAAAAAGTTAGCTGGGCATGGTGTGGCACACCTGTAGTCCCAGCTACTCAGGAGGCTGAGATGGGAGAATCACCTAAGCCCAGGAGGTCAAGGCTGCAGTGAGCCAAGATCGTGCCACTGCACTCCAGCCTGGGAGACGGAGTGAGATTCAAAAAAAAAAAAATTTCAGTCAGACATGGACCATACATATATGACAGTGATCCCATAAGATTTTAACGGAGCTGAAAAGTTCCTATCACATAGTGACATTATAGCCATCCTAAGTCGTAGCAAATCACAATACTCCCACATTAGTGGTGATGCTGGTGTAAACTAACCTACTGCACTAGCACATGCAGTTAGGTACAGTACATAATACTTGAAAGTGATAATAAACAACTATGTTACTGGTTTATGCATTTACCACATTACACTTCTTTTTTTTTTTTTTTGAGATGGAGTTTCTCTTGTTGCCCATGCTGAAGTACAGTGGTGCAATCTTGGTTCACTGCAACCTCCGCCGCCCAAGTTCAAGCAATTCTCCTGCCTCAGACTCCCAAGTAGCTGGGATTATAGGTGCATGCTACCACGCCCAGCTAATTTTTGTATTTTTTTAGTAGAAACAGGGTTTCACCATGTTGGCCAGCCTGGTCTCGAACTCCTGACCTCGTGATCCACCCACTCGGCCTCCCAAAGTGCTAAGATTACAGGTGTGAGCCACCACACCCGGCCAACTTTTTTTTTTTTTTAAGAGTTAGGATCTCTGTCACCCAAGGTACATAGCAACGCCGGCATCATAATTCACTACAATCTTGAACTCTTGGGCTCAAGTGGTCGTTCCACCTCAGCCTCCTGAATAGTGGAGACTTGGGACTACACGCAAAAGCCATCATGCCATGCTAATTTTTTTACTTTTTGTAGAGATGGAGTCTGGCTATGTTGCCCAGGCTGGTCTCAAACCCCAGACCTCAAGCAATCCTCCCACCTCAGCTTCCCTAAACCCTGGGATTACAGACATGAGCCACCAAGCCCCGCTACTATACTTCTTATCATAATTTTACAATGTACTACTCCTATTAAAAAAAAAAAAAGTTAACTGTAAAACAGCCTCAGACGGGTCCTTCAGGAGATAATTCAGAAGAAGGCATTGCTATCATAGATGACAGCTCCATGAATGTTATTGCCCCTGAAGACCTTCCAGTGAGACAAGATGTGGAGGTGGAAGACAGAGATATTGATGATCCTGAACTTGTGTGTACCTGCGTTAATGTGTGTGTTTGTGTCTTTGTTTTAAACAATGTAGAGCTACACAACGTGTTTGCGTTTTAAGCTAAGTGTTAACTGCAACAGAGACAAAAAGTTAGTTTATAAACTAAGTTACAATAAGCTAAGATTATTGAAGAAAAAAATTTATTAATAAATTTAGTGTAGCCTAAGTGTACCCTAATGCCCTAGGCCTTCACTTCCACTCACCACTTACTCACTGATTCATCCAAAGCAACTTCCAGTCCTCCAAGCTCCATTCAAGGTAAGTGCCCTATACAGATGTACCATTTTTTTTAAAATCTTCTACACTGTATTTTTACAGTACCTTTCTAAGTTTAGATATGTTTAAACACACAAATACCACTTTGCTGCAACTGCTTACAGTACTCAGTGCAGTAACATGCCGTACAGGCTTGTAGCCTAGATGCAATAAGCTATATACCACATAGCCCAGGTATATAATAGGCTGTACCATCTAGGTTTGTTCATACGATGTTCATAGAACGAACAACAAAATTGCCTAATGACCCATTTCTCAGGATGTATCCCAGCCTTAAGCAACTCCTGACTGTATCTTCTATGACCCAGCAGTTTCACACCTGGTGCTCTAATCACAGATACTCCTGCATGGGCATACAAGAATAAGGAGACAAAGGACTAGGTTGTCTGCACAACCTAGTTATCTACAGTAACAGAGACTTGGAGACAATAAGCAAACATCTTTAGTGAAAGATGTATAAAATGTAGCTTATCCTTCCCTTGAACAATTTGTTCCCTCTGGCTGGAAAGCTCTGGTCTCTAGATAAAAGCAGTCTTGCTCTTTGACAGCATTCCATTCTGTTCAAGTTGTCCTCTATTTAAAGAGGTGTCCACTAACTGCCAATCTAAAATGGCTCACTCCTAAACCCAGAATCTCTATGTTCCCGACAACCTTCTTAATTTTTCTGCATAATACTATTAACAATATGAATACTGTTTGTAGTACTATATTGTTAATAGTTTACTGTACTGTAAACACTTACATTTTAAACTATACATGTGTTGGTTGGGTACAGTGGCTCATGCCTGTAATCCCAATACTTTAGGAGGCCGAGGCGGGTGGATCACCTGAGGCCAGGAGTTTGAGACCAGCCTGACCAACCTGGAGAAACCCCGTCTCTACTAAAAATACAAAATTAGCCAGGTGTGGTGGCGCATGCCTGTAATCCCAGCTACTCAGGAGACTGAGGCAGAAGAATCACTTGAACCCGGAAGGCGGAGGTCGCAGTGATCCGAGAGCGCACCACTGCACTCCAGCTTGGTCAACAAGAGTGAAACTCCGCCTCAAAAAAAAAAAAGATAGTTGGAGAGTTGGAAATAAAATAATTAGATAGTTGGAGAGTTGGAGGTGGGGGTTACACATAAGTTAATAAGGGGAAAGAATGAAGATTTGGGGCTTCTCCAACTCATTGGTGCCTGCATGGCTCATAGGAGGAAAACAACTTCAGGAAGGTTGAAATACACTTTTTGACACGAATGTCAAGTATTTTAAGACAACTACATATGTCAGCGTTGAAGAGAGACCTGTGCTAAAAAGCCAGAGATTTGGGAGTCATCAAAATAGAGGCAGTAGTTGAAGCCACCACGGATGAAACCATTCAAGAAGAGTGTGCATTAAGGTCCTTATTTCCTACACTACGTAGTTTGGATTTTAATCTGAAGGTTTTCAGAAGAGAGCAGGGTAGTGTCTCAGAGTGAAACATCTAAAGTGGTCAGAGAAAAAAGAAAAATAACCAAGGAAACACTGGCTAAAACATAAGACGGAAATAAGGAAAATATGGTGTCCCAGAAGTATAAGAAGAAAATTTCAAGAATGAACAAGTAGTTAAAATGGCAAATGATTAAACAGATTCCATTAGATTTAGCAACAAAAATATCAATGGTGATCACCACTACATCAAATTCAGTGACTGCTATGGACTGTCAGCCTTCAAAATACTGAAAAAAATAGAATAAAA